ATCGTGACGCGCTGCACATCCTGGGTTTCGAAGCATATACAAAGGGAGCCTTCTGCAACTGAAGTGTGCATGTGCAGAGAGTATATCCAGCTTTCGACAGTCGGTCTGACTGATATTATGAAAACTTTTGGCGATCTCATGCTCACAAGATTTGCTTATTGCATGACGAAAACGATGACTGATGATGCCTCTTTTTACTATTTGGAATGAGCTGATTGGTAAGGAAGGACAGGTTTGTTCATGCGTGGTTGGTATGCCCAACAAATGCGGCTAGGGTGAAAGGTCAGGAGGACAATGAGAAATTTTTTATAGCAACATCATTATTGATAGGGACCTCTGTTGGAGTCCGCATGTGACCTATATGAAGAAGCGCCTGACCGCTATTTCTCAACTGTTCAAGTTCCTGGCAGGAAAGACGTGGGGGATGTCAGTAGACGAAATGATGGAGCTCTACAGGGCCCTGTTTCTCGGTTTCCTCAGATATAGCTTGCCCGTGCTTAGCAATACCTGCAAGACCAATGTTCGTGTTTTACAGGCAGTACAAGCCCAAGCGCTGAGAGTGTGCCTCGGTCTGCCCAGATGTACGTCACAGAAGCAACAATTGCAATTGCTGGTGACTATCCGATACAAACTCACATTGTTGTAGAAGTCCTGAGAACGCACATACGACACTTCGCACGTGCCCCCGGCCATCACCTTGCATTGTTGCCTTCAGAGAGGCGCCAAGCATCGTTCGCCAAAATTATCGTGAAATACAACGATAAACTTCCTTCGGGCTTCACTCATGCATCTAAACCATCCATACCCCCTTGGTGTCTTATTCGACCCACAGTGCATCTTAGTGTACCAGGGATCCGGAGGAAATCTGAGTTTTCGTCGCCCGTGCTGAAACAACTGTCTCTCCTTCTTTTGCACGAGAAATATTCAGACAGCATACATGTATACACCGATGGTTCCACGAACGACTAGTGTTCGTCAGGGGCAGTAGTTATCCCAGCAAGAGGTGTTACCATCAGCTTTAGGACTGACCACTCCACGCAATCTACAGCAGCGGAACTAGCTGCTTTGCGCGCTGCACTTTGTGTGGTCAATCGAGAACCACCGCAACAATGGTCGATTTTCAGCGACTCAAGGGCTGCCCTACAATCTGTGCTCTCAGCATTGCGTCGCGGCCCGTACGAACAGTTTGTTTTCGAAATTCGATGCCTTCTCCACACTTTACTCGAGAAAGGGCATCATGTGACGCTTCAATGGCTGCCAAGTCACTGCGGCATCATAGGGAACGAACATGCCGATACTGCCGCGCGGGCAGCCCTTGAAGGAACACGAGAAGAAGCCATACCACTTTCGAGGATTGATGCTGCCAGTAATCTTCGACGACTTGCGCGAGAAATCACGTTTTCACTATGGTGCCCACCAAGCATCGATACGAATCGTCAACACCACCTGTCCTCTTTGATGGCTCTCCGCATGCCCACTGGACTCGACCGAAGAGAAGCCACCCTTCTTCATCGCTTATTGCTAGGAGTGGCATTTACAAAATCTTACTCCTTTGTCATAGGAATGGCCGACAACGCTCTCTGCGATGCCTGTCATTGCGAAGAGACGCTACACCACATCCTGTGTGACTGTCCGTTGTATGAAATCCAGAGACAGTCACTGGCGTCTGCTTTTGCGCGCATCGACAACAGCCAAATGTCTGTGGACACTATTCTGTCAAGTACCCGAGAGAAGACCTTGCAACAGAAGGCGACGAAGGCTCCGTTGAAATTACTACGCGGCACCGAGTTGAACAAGCGACTGTAACAGCAATGTCACACACCGCGCAAGACTAGACTGGACTATGACTGAGTGTGCGCGCGTGTGCTGCCGAATGTGCTGTTTCTATCTTCCCTCTCCACTCTCTTTCATCTCCCCCATCCCTCTCCCATGCGCAGGGTAGCAAACCGGCTGCCTATAGGCTGGTTAACCTCCTTGCCTTTCTTTTCCTTCTATTTTCCTTCCTTTATAGCATTGCTCTGAGGCAGTTCATAAGTAAGAGTCAGGGGTTTAAAACACTCAGAAAATCGCGAAACTATTTTTACAAAGTTGCCTCGTCTGCTGCCGTGTGAAACGTGAGAGCACCTGCATACTTCGATTTTGTTTAGTTATTTACAAATACTCCAGGGCCTGTTCGGACCCAAGCAGGAGTGGGTACATAAATTTCAGTGAGAATAATATTAAAAAAAATCAATAGGTGGTACGAAAGCTACACAAATTGGCAACATGAATGAGGAATGCTATAAATATATAGCACCAAAAAAATACAATTCGCATTAGGTGCATACATTGATCCAAATTAAGCTCGAGTGTCCGCAATGGTGCACTTTATACTCACAAAATTATTGAATTTATTAAGTTTTTAACAGTAGAAAGGCAGGAAGTTGAACTGAATCGAATATTCATCCTGTTAATAATCATTCATGCCGATATTCAGTAATGCTGATATTCATCATTTGCTTATTCGCTTCTTATTACAGAATGCCTACACCTCATTCGACCTGAAAGGCAAAGAGCCCTGAAATGCAGTGGAGATCGCCACAGAGTTTGAAGACTTGTCAGTAGAAGTCCTGGATGTCATTGCTGGTGTGACAGCATTTGTGCAGATATATAATGCATTTTATGTGCTATATGCACCGCACAACGAAAAAAAAAAACATTTGCTGTGCTGGAACACTTCTGTGGGCAAAGATGTGCATCAACATCGCCACAAGTGAAGCGGTTATTCGCAGCTATAGGAAAGAAAAAAACTATGGCGAATGATTGAGGTGCCCGAAAGAGTCGTTTTTGAAGTAATGTTTCATTCAAAATCTGTATATTTGTTTTTACTGCCACGCTAAGCATTCCTAATACTTACTTGGAATGAAATAAATAACCACTCATATTTTTTGTCCAAATTATATTTGTGCGAGTACAGCTGATGCATGTTCTTTATAAATAGTAACATGCAGTTTTCATTCTAATACACTATTTGGCTACATTACTAAACTTCATGAACTATATATTTTATGAATTTGAGTAATATTGCCAAGTGTTGTGACTAGTTTGCATCGCTACTCGGCAAAGAGTAAACATTTACTGTGAAAGTTTATTTACATATTCTACCTTCCTGCATGTTTAGTAACAAACCTTCTTGGTAGTAAACATACTAGCTTAGCTTACCGCCTTCCAGTAAGTAGTAATGAATTAGTTACCATCATGGTAGTAATATTACGAGCTTAGTTTACTACAATTCACTAAAGAGTAATAGGAGAATTAGTTACCATCATGGTAGTAATATTACCAGCTTAGTTTACTACAATTCGCTAAACAGTAATTGGATCTAGTAACCATCACAGTAGCACATTTACTAACTTTATGTTACTACCATCTGATAGGTAAGCTCTGCAGCTTGTAAATGACATAGTAGTGACTTTATTACCTTGCAATTTAATACCTACAGTTACTACTTAGGTAGCGAATGTTGTGACAGCAATTTACTACCTCAAACTTAGTAAATAGCACTACCTTTTTTTAAAGAGCGTAGTTCGATGGCTCACTCAGCAGGTGTGATCGGACAGGCAGACAGACAGACAGATGGACCGACTAACGAGTGTACATACATACAGACGGACGGACAGACAGACAATTGGATGGACGGACAGACAGACAAATGGACGGATAGATAGAAACACAGATGGACGGACGCACGCACGACCATACGGACAGACGGGATCAAGAACGAATGGACGGACGGAAGCAAGGATGGACGGAAGAAAGAACGAACGGACGGAAAGACAGACGTTTCGCCCAACTCATCATCATTCGCTCCGTGGATATGCTGTGATTTTTTTAATTGTCTCTTGAGATATAGTTCTGGTGAAGGAACCGTGCCACCGACAAGTACTCAAGAACTGGCCATAAAAAGGTTTTGTAAAAGCAGGAAGTATCACCTAGGATGTTGCACCATCGATCTAGTTTTCTTGTTACCCTTTTACTTTATTTGTTTGTAATGATAACTGCTTTATCCGGAGTGTGTTTTATGTTACTTTGGAAACATTTGTAATTAAATTTTTTTCTTCTCGTTTTTGCTGCACCTGCCAGCCTTTCCCGGTCTAGATCTCATAGCATATTGTAAGTATATTTAAAATAAATAAATAAATAAATAAATAATTAAATAAATAAATAAATAAATAAATAAATAAATAAATAAATAAACGCAGGCGTGTAATTTTGCGACAACGAACGCCTAACTCAGCAAGCTACCGATTAACAACGTTCCCTGCACACGCGTTTTTGCTGAACTGACTTGCATACGTGTGAAAAAAAATGACACCTAAATTTACAATATTAGAGTCCTAAAACCTTATTTCCCAATTTTTGCACCTGTAGCGCGCTTTATCAATGTCTGCATTCCGACATATTTTCATTATATTATTGGTGCGCGTGTCTGCGGAGAACATGCGAGATTGCTACCTGTGTATTGTTGTGACAAGTCATCGTCCCAGAGGTGGGCATGCGGCGCAAAATGTCTAGAACCACCCCTTCTAGGTCTTCGCTGCGAAATAAAATTCTGCTCTATCTTAGTGTTGTAGTATCGAGAGATACGTAGCGTAAGCTTTTTAATTCGCATGTGGTTCTTTAATTAAGTCAAAACTATGATCCTTCATAACCAGTGCCTCGATCATAGCACGCCGTGAGGACAATCCTAATGTGCTAATGTGTATCGGTCATTGTGTTGAAAGAGCGCTAGTTATGAGAGACAAATACGTTTTTTGACGTTTTTGATGTATAAAATGTATTTAAGCAGATTTTTTCAGTATGTAGTTGTCGGGAGGGATGCACTGAATAACATTTCCAACTTTTAAATATTGCGCCATTATCAAATTCCACTTTAGTCATACAGATGGCGCGCACAAGTTTTCTTTCGCCACCTACAGATGGCGCGCACTACGGCAAATTTGTTCATCACCTCCTCGTTCTCTGACCTCCTCGCGCGCGCGCTTGTGTATGTGTCAGTCAGCTGATGGTAGTGCCGTGTGCTACTTTGGTTGCAGTAATCGTAGGCGTCCCGTTGTAACCGCCCCTCAAGATTTGCCCACTCGGTTGCAGAACGGTGGTCCGCATCGCCCGCAGGTCAGTAGTGACGTTCGGCGCGATCTTTTCTGCAGCCATGCCGTCGAGCAGCGGAGTCAGCTTCACTCGGGGAGAGCACACGCTCGGAGTGCCGCGCGAGTTGCACGCACTGAACCGTCGACGTCTCAGCGAGAAGCTGCGGAGCACATTGGGCAACAACGCGGACGGTTCGTTCGTGGTGCTGCTTGGCGGTGAGTCGACGACCCAGTACTGCTCGGACCGGGAGCCCGTGTTTCGTCAGGAGTCCTACTTCCACTGGGCGTTCGGTGTCGAGGAGCCGGATTATTTGGGCGCCGTGGACGTGGCTCGGGGACTTAGCTATCTCTTCATGCCGCGGCTGCCGCAGAGCTACGCGGTTTGGATGGGCCGTCTGCCCACTCTCGAGGACGTGCGAGCGCGCTACGGCGTCGACGAGGTCTTTTACAGCGACGCGGTGAGCGATGGCCTTCGATCGAATGGGGCCCGCACGCTGCTGACCCTTCGGGGCCGCAACACCGACAGCGGCAAGACGAGCGCCGAGGCCAAGTTCGCTGGAATGGAGGGCTTCAAGGTGGACGCCGGGCCGCTGTTCGAGGTGATCGCCGAGCTGCGCGTCTTCAAGACTCCCCTCGAGGTGGAGGTGCTGCGGTACGCGAACCGCGTGAGCAGCGAGGCACACAAAGAGGTGATGCGCCGCATTCGACCGGGAATGTACGAGTACCAGCTCGAGGCACTGTTCCTGCACAAGTGCTACGCCGACGGCGGCGCTAGGCATGTGTCGTACACCTGCATATGCTGTGCCGGTGGCAACGGCGCCGTGCTGCACTACGGCCACGCGGGCGCCCCCAACGACTCGCCCATAAGGGACGGTGACATGTGCCTGTTTGACATGGGCTGCGAGTACTACTGCTACTCGTCCGACATCACCTGCTCGTTCCCGGCCAACGGTCGGTTCACGGCCGACCAGCGCGTCGTGTACGAGGCCGTGCTGGCGGCTAGCCGGGCCGTGCTGGACGCCATCCGGCCGGGTGTCTCGTGGCCCGACATGCATCGGCTTGCCGAGCGGCGCATCCTGGAAGGGCTGGTCTCCGTTGGCCTGTTGAAAGGCGACGTGGACGCCATGATGAAAGCTCGACTGGGCGCCACCTTCATGCCGCACGGCCTGGGCCACTTCATGGGGCTCGACGTGCACGACGTGGGAGGTTACTTGAGCGCCGACCCTCCGCGACCCACCGAGCCCGGACTGCGCTCCCTGCGGACGGCGCGCACGCTACGGGAGGGCATGGTGCTCACCGTCGAACCCGGTTGCTACTTCATCGACGCCCTGCTGGACGAGGCGCTGCGGTCGCCCGTGCTGTCCGCCTTCCTGGTGCCCGGCGTGCTGCAGCGGTTTCGCAACTTCGGCGGCGTTCGCATCGAGGACGACGTGCTCATTACAGCCGATGGACACGAGATGCTCACGCAGGTGCCGCGCACCGTCGCCGAGATTGAGGCGCTCATGGCCGGACACTGATCAGTCCGTTTGCGTTTCAAGGTCGTGGTAACTCCGTAATAAATTACTTTATTAATACATCACGCGTTTGCTTTCACGTTTCGAATGTACGTTGATTCTATTTTTTAAGGACGGGGATAATACCAAGGGACTCAAATAGCTCTGCTTTCAACAGTTTATTTCCTATCACTACTTATATGACAGAACATGTCCACATCGTCTGTGCAGGAGTAGCAAAACATAACTAATGTCACAGACACAAAGAAACTGAAATTCTTCCCCTGCCGGTGCGACAGACTTCGCAGACTAGATGGCATGCTAATGCAATCGTCGCCCGTCTTCTTAATCTGCTTCTATCATATCGCCTGTTGGCTCAGTTGTGTTTCGTCTCAAAATTTCTCCACGTGCTGAACAAAGGAAATCAGCCTCGCTATTTACAATGCATTGCTAAAAAACACAGCTGCCACGTTTTAGAATTATGTAACGGTGTCCACGCAGTGGTGGGCAGTGCACCCCACACCATCAAGAACGTGGGAGGTTCATGCCCGCAATGCATTGCAAGAAGTACGGCTGCTTTGCTTTGAACACATTCAGAATTCCGCGATGAAGTATGGAAGCAGAGAGAATTAAAATAAATGCATTACAACTTAAGCGCATAACAATGCTGTCTATTGCGCTGACAGGTAACGTTTTAATGCGATGGTGGTACGAAGCTCAGTGCGCCGAAATTACAGCATCGGCGTCATTGGTTGTAAGCGGAAAATCCCCTTTTTTAGTGACCAAAAATACAGAAAGACCCAAATAAAAAACAAGTTTTCGGGTGAGAATTGGAACCCCGCAGATCGCGTGGAAAGCAGGTGTTCAGCCCTACGGACATGCGTCTGCTTGAAAATGCAGTGACAATAACTTTCATGGTTTACGAGCACTCGCGTCCAGTACAGACTTCAAATACAACGTGTAATATTGCATGGTACAGGCGTCTATTGCCATCGCGTGTCAGAGAGTGTGGTTATTATAACGACTTCATGGTTTAAAGCCGACCCCCCAATACAAAAGACACAAACGTTACTTTGCATGTTCCCTTATGCCTAGACAATTTCAAAAACATTTCACGAGCATTACTTCTCGTTTAAACCATGTTACCGATTACACATAATGCAGCCAACAGTGTCGTAGCCAAAGGAGGTGGGGTTGGGGGGTTCACTAGTTCTCGCCCCCTCTCCCACTTACCCACCTTTTTCTTCGTCGCTTCGCGCTGACATGAGTTAGAAGCTACAGGCGGTGGTAATATCACAATGTGATTCCTTGGCGCCTTCACAGTGAATAATGTCTGCACATGGCAAAACCTGTCGCGGTGTTTGGCACACTGAGGGTTTGGGCAGGAATCTCTGCACCGAGCGTTTTAAGTTGGCTCGGCGATGCGTGTAATGCTGCAGCGGTGGTCACACTTAAAGAATAGATCTCGCCGGAGTCGATAACTATAACGGTAAAAGCCAAGCACAGTTCAGGGCCAGGCACAGTTTTACCGATAACGGTAAAAGCCAGGCACAGTTCGAAGGTCTGATAGCCTACGTTCAAGCATATTACAGTGTGACTCCTACATGTGTTAAGGTATACTCAAGCCACCGAATAATATTTTTTGAACCTTCGCACGTTCTGCTAACAACTAAAGAGACACGCGCGCGCGGAATATTCGGTTTATCCACCGAACTTCGCTTGTATGCGAGTGTAGAGTACAATGTATCAATATATTAATGCATATCTTCACTACGCGCTAACGGCTAAAGGCATGAGATCTGAAACGTGAGGAAGTTGGTATGTATTCGTCTTAATTTTAGCCGTTCACTGGGGGATGAGGACTAAGAAGAAAGAATGCGCACAAAACAGGCGCTGCAAGAGGCTCTCCGAAGTGTTGTCTACTGACAAAGGTGGCACACAGGGAAACGCGCAGCCCAATCACACCCCTAGATATGCCTACTGACATGCTCATTGTGTAACTTAAGCTGATAAATAAAAAGATGGTGGTCATAAACCTAAAGCAACGTAATAACAAACGCAGTGTGAGCAGCTGTAGTGAGCACAAGTTTTATTCTTCAGCAGTGTGGTAAACAGCGGTAGAATAAGGAACACAAAGCTGAAACGAAAAGTATATATATATATATATATATATATATATATATATATATATATATATATATATATATATATATATATATATATATATATATATATATTGGTAAATATATATAGTTGGTAATTTTTTCATCCACTTTTCTTTCTTCTTATTTACATTCCATTGGTTTTAATAACTTCCCCTGTACATTCCTTGGAATTACTGTCTGTTATATCTCATATATATATATATATATATATATATATATATATATATATATATATATATATATATATATATATATATATATATATATATATATATATATATATATATATATATATATATTGTTACCACATAAGTAATTTAGGTATGTGCACCTGTGTAGCGGTGAACAGGGTAGTGGAAGAAGAAGAGGTCGTTCGGTTGGTGGCAAGAGATTTCACTCCTATATTTGAAGCCGAGCTAAGCTATTATTTTAGCTCTTCGGAAAATTCCTACGACCGAGACCAGTGCAATCATCCTAACAGACTCACTTTCGGTGTGTGCAGCTCTGACAACCTCCGAACAATCTCGTGCCCTAGCAGCGTTCCGCACGTTAGCACCGCCGCATTTAAAACTCCTCAAATTAGTGTGGGTCTCAGGTGACTGCGGATTACAATTAAATGAATTGGCAGATGCTTTGACACGAGCATCACTCGATGGACCAGTAATTTCAGTACTTCCCGAGTTAGAATACCAATCGGGGGTTAGATATAGGAAATTCTCTATTTTTACAGATAGTTTAGAAAATATCACACAATGGACAGATTATCAGCACCTCAAATTTCCCTGGAAAGCTCAGTGGAGTCCGTCAAAAAAACTTGAAATTATAATCTCCAGATTCGGGTGCCGTGTCCCCCCATTAAATTTTTATTTACACAGAGCTGGTCTGACACTTTCCCCCCTTTGTCCGTTTTGCGAATAATCAGAAACTACTGAACATTATTTTGGCTCATGTCGTAACTATGCATTAATTAGGAAACGACTTTTAAATATTCCATTTGCGAAGCTAGGTTTAAATTTAACCACAGAAAATGTTCTAAGTTTTGGTGCCTCTGTTTTGGGAAATCGCCACAGAGATGCATTCGATGCGGTGTGTAATTTTATTCAAGACTCTAAACGTTTTTCAACATAAAGCCCACGTTAACAGGTACTCAAAAAAAAAAACCGCGTCGAAAAGTAATTTTTCAAATCTGGATAAGTCCGTGACATACCAAATTAATTGGGTTTGGCAAAACCAGCTGTCTGGTTGGCTCCCAAAATCAAGGTATAGCTATTAGTGTCTACTTTCTTGTTGATTCTTTTTTCTCACTATCTAAATCTTTGGTTTCTTTCTTTTTTCAACATACTGTCTTCACTATACAACTCCCCCCCCTTTTTTTTTTCGTTGTAAGCAATAATGCAGTTATCGTCCGTATGAGACTATATGTTCTCTTGGCCAATCCCCCAGAGTGGGTACGAGCCATGGATTAGAGGCTACAAACAAACAAACAGGTGGCAAGAGCTCGCTGGTGCGCGTTCACTGCTGTAAACCGTCGAGTCGACCGTTACGTCGGCTCTGAATAAGCCCCTCTCGTAGACGTAACAGAGTGGTGGAGGTGCTGGGTGCGGCTTGTCGACGTACCACGGAGCCACAGCTGTTCGGAGTTCGCCGGAGCCGTCGTCTTGCCGGTCTGCCACCGACAACAACCGTCATGGCCGAGAGCGAAGGTCGGGAATCAACTGCCTCGACTTCACGCAGGTCTACGCTGGCTACACCTAGGCATCACTACATGGAACTCCGCCCGTTCGCGGGGATGGCAAGACAAGACGTGGACGCATGGCTAACGCACTACAAAAGGATGAGGCGGTACAACCACTGGAACTCTATCGATCAGCTGGATAACGTAGCACTGTTTCTCACGGACACTGCCCTGATGTGGTATGAAAACCACGAAGAGTCCTTGACAACATGAACTCTTTTTTCTCATGAACTGAAGAAGTGTTTTGGTGACTACGACTCAAAGAAGAAAAGCGTGGAGCGGACTCTGGCTGGAAGAGCTCAGACTCCTGGAGAAACGTGCACTGCTTATATAGAGAACGTTCTTAAGCTTTGCAAGATTATAAACCCTCAGATGTCTGAAGAAGACAGGGTGGACACCTGTTGAAAGGCATAGTGGAAGACGTTTACAATTTTCTGATAGCCAGGGATGACCTCACCTCTTTCTCCAACGTCCAACATCACTGAAGACTCGTCGCATTGCCCCGAAATTCGGTAAGATGGCAAATGTGACAACGGTTGCCAGCGTCGACGTGAGCCCGCCCACCGACCTTGCCGCTACTATTCGGGCAATAGTGCGTGAAGAGCTGCAGCTACAAGGTGGTGGGGTTGATACACGGCGGCGCCTATAATGCACACCCTAATACACGGCGGCGCCATTAGCTCCTTTGCCACCATCGGTATGTTTGACAGACGTCAGCGAAACTGGAACTCTGTGGCCACGTCGTGACTCGTTCGCCGCCGACCAGTGATATGCCCAACGCCTTCGTTACGGCCCCGCCACACAGAGGTGGGCAGCCCCCGCTCACCAAGCTCGTCACCGACCCTTCACAGCTGAGCGGTCTCAGCATTAGTTCGGCGGGCGCCCTCTACCAGTCTGCTACAACTGTGGCTTCAAAGGCCACATTTCCAGGCATTGCAAATACCGGCAGCCACCAAGGTACGACCAATCACCGAGATAAAACCGTTCCAGCGCTACCCGAGCCCCGACATTCCCGGGAAGCGCGTCTTACGAAATCTCAGGACCGCTACGAAACCAATCTCCGGCCTCTAACCGCAGTGTGACACCACCGCCTGTTCCTCGCGCCAATCGATCACCGTCTCCTCGGCGCCGCCACTCCACGTCTCCTACGGACGGAAAAATAGCCGGGGCGGCCGTTGGAGGTGAG